TAGGACAAAAGATATTAAAAAACGCCTTAATTGATTCATGACAGATTACAAAACAGTATGTGTTTGATTAATTTCAAGTAAACATATATATATATTTATTTATAAATAAAATGTATTATATTGATATTCTTATATAGTTTTTACGTAAACTTGTGTATTATAAATTAGGATTTACAAGTAGAATTGTGTATAGTGAACTAATTTGTGTGGATATATGGATGTTTGTTACTCTTTCACGCAAAAAACTAATGAACAGATTTTAATTTATCTTTAACATAACGTAACTTAAACACCAGAATAAGGTATAGATTATAATTTATACTAAAATATTAAGTAATTACCGCAGTATTGACATAACAATTGGTTTGAGTATGAAATCACGTGACACAATCTATAGGTGGCGCTGATAGTTGAATAATAAATTTATTTTATAAATAAACTTTATAAATTTCCATCTGCGTCAGCTCTTAAATCCACCGAAACGAAGTCACAGCAAAAACTTATACATTATCATAAGATAATTCTAAAAGAAATATAGTTAAATAAAATTGATATGGGTAAATATGTATAAACAATGTCCTAAAAATAATACAACGAGAGTCACTCTATAGTTACCAAGAAAGAGTTATGTTAGTCGTTACTAGAGTTTCTTACTTATATACACGATTACGTTACTTTTAACTTTTTATAATTCATGAAGTAATCCTACATCTGCTATTAGTTGTAATATTCAATACAATTACTTAAATCATAAAATTTAATTGTACAAATAGAATATTTCTTATGCAAATGAAATCTCTAGAGGTTTTTCTAATACCATAAAGTATAAGGTTTGTTCAGAATGAAAATCTCACAGTAACAGGCACAAGGGAATTCAAGCACAACCACTTAAAGGAGCCATAAGGCGTAAAGTCGGTATAGCACAGGGCTAGGATATTTAGATGTGGCAGACGATGATAAATTGAAAACATAAAAAGAACATTATAAATATTCTTCTTCTTCTACCTGGCAATTTCCCAGCTTTAACCAGGGTCTGCTTGCATGTTGTGAATAGTTTTGCCGCCTGCCTGACATCAACCCTCTTTAAGAATGCATTAATCAGTGATGTCTAAATACTCTTAGAAAGTACATATGACTCGGAAAAATCACATTGGTACTTGCCAGGATCGAACTCGCACCTGCAAGCATGAGAGGCAGGCCTTTTAACCACTAGGCCACCACTGACTTCAAAATAAATATTATATACTCAAAAATCAAAATCAATTATAACAGCCGATGACGTAATTAACTTTAATTGCACTCCGATAAGGAATGTACAATCATTACACAATAATACAGTACTTCAATTAAAAATTCGTCAATATGTCTTAATTAATATTAACAACGGGTGCAACACAAAAACCAACCGGACGTCTTTTAATGTGGTCGCTCTGTGTTTTTTGTAGCTCTGTGGACTGAATGTACCCGAAATGAATCTGTACATTACCGCAGTTACAGCGCAGAAGCAAACAGTGGTATACTTGCTTTGGTAACATTAGTAGGTAACGATAGACAGACGTAATAAAAAATAAATTTAATATAAATAATAATATATTTTATATATAAAAGTGCTGTGAAAGTGATTTTAAAATATTTTTTTTTCATATAAAAATGTATATTTAAATTCGTGTGTGTGGTTTCATCAAATATTTACAAAAGATTTGATTCCGAGAAGAGAATTGATAAAAGAGGTTTCGAATCTGTTTGTGATCTTAAATTTATTTTTGTATATAAATATTTAATTTCCGTTTCGATGAGGCTTTTATTTAGAGGCTTTTATATGAGAATTAACACTATATAAAAAATCATTATCTAATATGTTATATATGTGAAACTTTTACATAACATCTTTATTTTCAAGACTGTTAAATATCTTTTTTTTTCGTCGACTGGTTATTTCCAATATTCTTGGTCAATTATTTATTTAGAGGCTGTAACTATAACGATGTTACTCGCGTGTTGAATAACAATCAAATTAAGAGATTTGGCCAACGGACAAAATATTCGTTGTTAAAATTTTAATAAGAAAACCTTGACTATATACATACTTACACAATTTACAAAAGTAATTAAAAATTATTATTGATTTTTTATTAGTATTGTACATAAAACAATTGTTTTCATAATATTGTCCGGACATATTATTTTGGAAGTCATTGACCCTCAAAATTATTTGTAAGAAACGGATCTTCAGGCGACTGACCAAAGACAACGATGTGCTGAATAGATAAACGCCTAATTATAAGTAAAACAATGCCATTTACCGTAACACACGAAATATATATTGTTATAGTATTGCTCATGCGAATTGGTAACGCTAAGGGTCTGGGAAGCTGGGTTAAGTGATACAATGCGTAACGAGATAATTATATTTTTTTTCTCAGACCTACATTGTGATATCGATAAAGAAATATTATATATATGTATATTATGAGAATATATTAAATATTTTTTCCTTTGATTCTATTAATATTTTTGTATAAATATATATATTTCGAAATTTTTGTTATAATTTAAACCAAAAAAAAGTAAGTTCATATAAGATTATAAACATCTTACTATTACAATTTATATAATATGTATGTATATATTACAACACCCGAGTATGTAGTATGTTAGAATATTTATCTAAGTAAAGATGCGCACAGACAGACAATCAATACATTTTAACAAAGCAATTATAATTTTACTTCTATATATGTATATATATTTATATATAAGTTTGTGTGTATGTGTGCTTGTGTGTGTGTGTGTGTGTGTGTGTGTGTTTATACAGGGTGACTGGTGAATTACTATCAATATTTAAGGAGATAACTCGGTACATGATTCTCATTCGAATTATGTAAAAAAAATAGGTACTTAATTTTTGACCAAATTTCCGTATAAATAAATAAAGTGTGGACACGTTCCAAGTGTTCCAAGTGTGGACGCGTGAAGCGGCGTGCTGATACAACACCACGCCGCCGGACGCGTGTGTGTGTGTGTGTGTATACCTAATCTGTAGGGTGTTCACACGATGCGTAATTAATTACATAACTTTTGGTTAACTTTACTTAGAAGTTTATTAATATTTATGTTATATTAATTTTTATTTCGTCATATATGATCGTCAAATATCACGTCCTCAAGTATTGATAGTAATTCACCAGTCACCCTGTATATTATATTTTTATGTGTCAGTCATGGGTCAAGTTTCTCTTCTATGTTATTCCACTAAATTATTATAATAAAACAATTTAAACGCAAACTGATTTGTCTGAGTGTCTTAATCGGGATGAATTTTATGTCCCATTTATTGTATTTTATGACGCCGTTATAACTTTTACATAAAATATTATTTTATATATTAATCTGTTTGTAATATAAACTTGTACATATATACTAGCTGACCCGGCAAACTCTGTTTTGCTATATAAAAATATTGGTGATAAAAAAAGTAAAATTTTGGGTGGTATGTATTTTTTTATAAAAAAAAATAAAAGAAAAATCGTCCGAAAATAAAAAAAAAAAAAATTAAGGGTGAAGAAGCCTTGTGACTTAGGGGTATGAAAAATAGATGTTGGCCGATTCTCAGACCTACTCAATATGCTCACAAAATTTCATGAGAATCGATCAAGCCGTTTCGGAGAGTTTGACTGTCTAACACCGCGACACGAGAATTATATATATATATATACATATATATATATTGATTACTATGTAACTGTAATAATAATAAACTAATGACGTTTTCTAATATATAAGCACGTATCAGCTGAACGTTTAAACGGCTCCACCGACTTCAATTGACCTTTAAACTTTAAAAGAACTGAGTACAACTTTATAAATGAAAATAATTATAATATGTCATTTTATAAACATCAAAAGCTTAATAGAATAAGAATTTAAATTCATATGTTTTATTGGAAAACTAATTAAAATATAGGGAAAGAACTTTGACCTTAATAAAACGATGGCATTGTATAAAACAAAATTTAATTTTAATTAAAAAAAAAATATTGGCGTAAACAAAAAAACTTCTATGAAATATATATATTTGTATTCTGTAATCGGATTATTCATTCTTATTATAATTTAAAAGCGAACCAAAATAAATCAAAACATTGTGACATTAATACCGAGACATTCATATCATATGTTAATTTAGTTTGAGGATATATTAAAACATTTATATGTATATATGTATTTGTTTATCAAATAGTTTATATACTAGCTATATAACACGGCTTTGTTTATGGTTCGTAAAATTAGGGGAAAATTTTATTTATTTATCGAAAAATAGTTTTAATATGAAGTATTTAGTTTTTTTTAAGGGTAACGAAACATATAACGGATTTGTAGGTAAAACTTTAGAGTTGTCTTCTTAAATTATTTCTACTTTTTCTTATATAAGCTAAACTTCTACTAAATAATAGATAATTTAAATGGCTTTAGTCATAGATACTTGTAAATGTAAAGATATAAATCTATTACAATCCTCAAGAACAATAGCACACACATATCTTAATCTAAACAAAGCTATGTGTCAACAATAGGCACAGTTACCACATTATTGCACAAAAAAAATAACTCACAAGCAGGCTGTATAGAGCAATAAGGATTCTTATTAATAAATTAATCAATACACTTAGTGTCATATTTAAAATATTTCGAAATATCCAAAAAAATATATTTATATTTTTTCGTAGTAAAACCTCATTTAGAACATTTACGATTGTGTTCAACAAATAAATTAGTTTAAAATATTCTTCACGAAAATACTCCAAAAACGTTTTATATTCCCATTGAAAATAATATTTCTTAATACTGAATTAAAACATAAATATAAAAGCCTCAACGGAACGGAAATCTTTAAATTTTTAAACAACACCAATCTAGTTGTTCCGAGTAATATTAAAACAAACAAAAATGATTCCTTCGTAAAAAAAAGGTACCTCTATTAACTGACCGGTAATAATGTGATGGCCAGGACTGTGAGGAAACTGAAACGAGGTAAATTGAGAGAGGTGAAACTCCCGGCTATAGTAATAACTCCGCCTGAGATAGACATGAGATTTAAATCCACAAATTACAAGGAAAACTCAATAAACAACATGGAATTCAGCGTACACGATTTAATAGCTCAGTTATCTGAAAACTCGAAGGCTTCTAAGGAGGAAATCGAAACCATTCAAAGAAAACTCCTCCATCAGGCTAGTGAGATACTAAAAGTAGACAAATTCGCCAACCAAACTCATTCATTTGTGAGCGCCAACCAAAATTATACCCCAATTTATGGTCGACCGATATCTGTCCAAAGACAGATGATCAATCAAGACTCTCAATTAGTGCCCGAGAAGTTACAAGAGAATACGAGCACAAAGCATCAAGTAGTGAGCGCGGGAAGAGGTTTCAACGGAACTGGTTTTGAGGCTCGAGCCAGCAGTGTACGACCAACCGCGCGAGGTGAATGTCTTGTATTGTATTGTGCTGTGCATATAATGTGTTAACTGTGATAACGGTTACTGTTCATTTGGAAGTGCGGTATGTTTGAACCAATAACCTATTATATATATTCTAAGTCTCAAACATATCTGTACTATAACCTCCTATAAATAATTGAAGTCTGAACGCGTTGCCTAGTAATAAACAACTTACATCAATGAGTGACGTGGTGTCACAATCCTAATAAATTTATATCTACTAATGTAGAACTAATATATTATAGACAGTTCCAATCAATAAATCATTGCATATTGTACTGTCTAGACTTTAAAAGCTTTAAAAGCGTATGAATAAGAATAACAATATTGAAATGAGACGGGTCGTTAGCCAATGGCTATTAGATTTTCTCTTTATGTTATTGAGTTTTTTAGATATCGCTGTGAAAACATACATTCTTGAATGAACCGGATCACGGAACATATACATATATAAGCTCTATATAGTGTAGTTCTGATTCTAAGATTTACTATATATTTAGACCCTTATTCTAACATATACATAATAATTCATATAATTTCATAGTAAAACATTAAGTAAAATTCATCTATCTTTATAATCAGCATTACTTCTCCCTGTCTCTTTCTTTCTCTTTCTCTCTCTCTCTCTCTCTCTCTCTGTACAGTATATGTAGTCTTATAACTATCATCTTCAAGACACCATAACTTCAAGTAATCCCTCATCTGTACTTACAAACACATTTAATAAATTTCATCATCCACCTTATTATCAACAAGTCATAATGTGATTGATAAATTACATTTACTACCTTCTCCCGTATCTCCCTCAGAATAAGAAGTCCAAGAAGAGTCAGGGCTTATATAGTCTATTTACATAATATATTTAATACGAAACATTTCTTCTGTTTCATGATTATAAATATACATATATATACATATATATTTATAATAGTAAATCTCATTCTCTTCTTCTATATACAGAGTGTTTATAAACCGTACTTCAAGTAACAAACCTTTCTTATACTTCATTGTTTTCATCGACTATAGATTTTAAACACATGCCTTTAAAATGACTAACAAAAAGCAACGCATCTGCCGGTCATCGGTTGCCTCCGGCTGTTTTTCCTTCATACAAAATTCAACCTTAACTTCTATAACATAAGGTTGATATTTCTACATACCTACATATAGTATCAACCTGTCATCATTTGTTTCAAAGTGAACTAGACCCTTTGTGTTTATATTAAGGCTCATTGTCGCCTGATAGATGATAATGACGAGGTTTTAATACAACGGAAATACTTTCGCAGCTTTATACCTGCTATGTTTATATGATTTATGAATTCTTTTGTTTAAAACCAAAAACTTTGTTATATTGATGTACATAGAAAAGACTTCAACGCGATCCATACCTAGAGATACTAAGATTTAACACAGATACGGGTATAATTTAAATGTATGGTGATTAAATTTTATTATTATTTTCGTGGATATTATTTATATTGAATAAAATATTATTTTACATAGTTCATAATACTCAAAATATATAAGGTATTTTATTTAAAATCAGATATATGTATTTTTAATTAAATTTACTAACTACTACTGTATAATATAAACTTCTTATAAGTAGGTTCTATTAATCTTTAAAGGATACGGTCACAATGGTTCAGTTGTTAATGCATCCTGAACCTCATATACTGTAGGTCGCCAATTCGATTCCTACTATTGTATATAAATATATCCTTCAACATTGTCACTTATATTAGATTACTTAAAACCATTATATTAAAACAAATCTGGTAGAAAAATATTTTAGAAGTGTATTGAAATTTGAAACATCTCAAAAACATACACAACTTTTCATTTATAAATCAAGTAGAATTAACATTTAAATGAATTATTAATGAATAATTCATTAATTCACTGTTTGAAACAAGATTATATAATACTCAGTTTAAACATAATACATATAATATATTAATTAATTAATTCAATACTACCTACCACCAAAATAATCTCACATACAGTTACAAACGGTACCGTTGTGACACAGCTGACTTGACAAAAATACACTCCGCTATGTACACTTACCACTTACCGTCATCAACAGCCTATCAGAGCCCACTGCTGAGCAAAGGCCTTTTCTCACATGGAGAAGGTTAGAGCATTAATCACCACGCTTGCTCAAGACGGGTTGGTTTCATGATTTCAAACTTATAATTGTGAAACTATAAGTCCATGTTTCCTCGCGATGTTTCCCTTCATCTGTTAGTGATGTCTAAATACTCTTAGAAAGTAGATATGACTCGGGAAAATCACATTGGTACTTGCCAGGTTTCCAACCCGCATACATGAGGCGGGCCTTTAACTACTAGGCCACCACTGACTATATACCACTTACCACCTATCAAAATTCAACAGCACTATAATATACAAATATTATACTATGAATTAAAATGAAACTAATATTTTGTAAATATACTACGCGATTTATTTTTGTAAAAAACTACATACTTACTCCTGACGTTACGACTTTTCAGCAACCGTGATCATTAGACGAGATGTGAGTGTCTGTCAGTTGGTCTTGTTATTAATCACTTTACTTATTTCACTATGAAATTTAGCTTAGATTAAACCCCTCTAAATAGCCTCCAAATTTAACATAATCTTAATTATTTTGTTACCCAAATATAATCAATATATTATTATAGAAATAGCCACAGAGATAACTTAATATATACCAAGCTAAGTAAATAATTTTGCTAAATAATCATATTTAATGATGTCCAAGAATAATATTTTAGACACTTTCATCTCGTTTCTATGAAGTAACTTCCAGTTAAATGGAGATTATAATAATTTAGTTTAGTTAAATAAAAAAACATAATTTCATCTTTATTTATTTATTTTTTATATATAATTCTATATTTTTCTATAAAAAGAGAATATTTTAAAGTACCATTCGTCATCTAATTGTACATTTTATTAGTAAAAGAGTATGTGATTACTGAAGTGTTTTGTTTGAAGGCTTATATAGGGCTTTGATTGATCTATTACAACTAGAATCTAGATGCTCTTCTGTTTAACAAAAATGTATCATAGAATTACATTAACATAGTTTAAATCACAAAGATATAAAAAGACTTAGAAGAGATATTAAAAGGAATTGTCCTTTTAATATTTTATATACAAAAATTACTTCAACAGAAGCTAATTTATAAAGAAATAGAAAGACCTTAATTTCTTACAATATTGTATATATTTTAATAAAAAATAATTGTTATATAATGAACATTAATGATCTTTCATTCAATATCTATTGGGACCACCGTACACCGCTTCTTACTAAGTCGGATAACTTTCTAGATAATTATATTGAAAGATACCACTAACAGGTCGCCTTCGACCGGGTTAGAACAGATCGTAATCTATGGATAACCAGACAAAATCATACATACATATTATATATATCTTACCCGCGGCTTCGTCTGCGTAAAACAAAAATAATAAACAATGGAAAAACCTTATAAGCTCCGCGTGCGTCCTGAGTCCCAATCGAGCGTGATAACACTAAATTTAATATTGAGATAAAAAGTAGCCTATATTACTCGTTATTACATCAGCTACCTGCCAGTAAAAGTCCCGTCATAATCGGTCCAGCCATTACAGAGATTAGCCTGAACAAACAGACAGACAGACAAAAATTGTAAAAGAAATATTTTGGTGTATATACCGTTGGATCATATGCATGTAGTAATACGGTTATTTCAATATAACAAACAGACACAACAATTTAATTTATTTTTTCTTAATAATAAACATTGCTGTAATATATTTTTTACAACAGCATCTAATCTATGATCCATTCGTAACTTTCACATCGCAGATTAAGTTTAGATCAGAAGGCTAACGCTCTCATCAAATGATCATTTCGTTTTACTGTTCTCTGTTCAATTCTTGGAATGTTTATTATGTTAAGTGGCAATTGCTTGTGAAATTTAGAATTATATGTAGGAGGGACTGCTAGGAATCTAATCCTCTAAAGAGAAACAGATCTCTTGAACAAGTTATAGAAGAACATGTTATGCCATATCGTAGCAAACTTTCTCAAGGACTGATAATGCTGTTAGAAAAACTAGATTTATCATATTTTACAAATTAACAATATCAATAAAATGAAACTAAAACGCAAGTTATTTTATAAGATACTAGTTTTTGCCCGCGACTTCGTCTACGTTAGTTTCAGAATTGGAAATGAATAGTTGATCGGTCGAACTCTATTCTTTCTTAAAGACAGTAGATAAGAAGTTTTTGGATTTGACTGACTTATTTTTTCTTTTTCAATGTGATGAAAAGTATCACATGTCCTTTCTATGTTCTAATCTATCTCTCAACCAATTGTCAGGCAAACCCGTACAGCCGTTCTTGAGTTATAACTAACACGACTTTCTATTATATAAAAAGAAGTTTTTAATGATAATATCTATCTATAACTTAGTCATTATCATTATCAATAGAAAAATTAATATTAAATAATGATATATAAGTTTTTCACGTGTAGTTAAATAAACTATTTATAGTTTTTTTTATTATTTTATATGTACATAATAACGACGTTTCTGTTCCTTTACAGCAACCCTGATCACAGACGAAATGAAAGCTTTGTATCAAATAGTTTATTAATATATTATGGAATTAAAGTTTTATAAAGGGTGTGTGTTTTATGTACGGACACCTTCTTTTTATTATATGTATATTAAAATCAAAATAGTATTACAGGTAGACATCTCATCTTAAAGACCACGGTTGCTGCAGAATAATCGAAACGTCGACAGTATATGTATAGTTAAAATAATAAAATACTCTTAGCCATCCGAAAATAAGCTTCATTTAAACATAGTATCAATTGGAAGTGATAACTATATAAGTAATCCGTTGCAACAAATTTTTCGCAACCATCACTACATCGGGACAGCTCGCTCGCAGCTCGTTTGCAGCTCGATAACCTGTCTCAAGCTGTAATTAAAAAATACATCAAGCTGTTTGTATTCGCTTTCACGGAGCCTGTTCTAGCCTGCTCCGACCTGTCTAGCTTGAGACAAAAGTATTGTGGACACTATAATATATTAGTTCAAACTTAATATATCATTCACAGATAAGCTTGAATCAAACTACTTATAAATTAAAATTCTATGGCTTTTAGCGTAAAAGCGTGATGATTTTTTTGATTAGTTCTAATGAATTACTATTAAAACTTGAGAAGTATGTCAAATTAAACAAAAATATCGTGTACAATTTGACTTACCGCCTTTGAATAGTCTTTGAAATTCTGTTGCTGCTAGCATAATATAAAAAAAAAATGATTTTTGTGAATTGAATTACTACCTCTTATACTAACTTCAGAAATATATCAAATTAAACGAAAATATCCCGGTCAATTTGACTTATCGCCTTCCAACAGCTTTTCTTGTATCCTTATCAAGGGTTTTCATAGTAATTCGTCAAACGAACAGTTATCCGTTTCTCATTCAATCACCTACATTGACGCAGTAAAGTGCGAAGATTTATGAAAGCACTAGGCTTGATACTGTTTAATTTTATCGATATTTTTTTCAATTATAACATATAATAAATATTTTTATGTCTTATTATAGTTAAAATATGTATCAGTAAAGTTATTCCAAGTATTTCATCCAATTTTATACGACTTCTCCGTTATAACTTGTCGAGTGTATGTGAACGGGTACACACTGATGTATTCTAATAATATTAATCTGTTTCTCATGTTGTTCTTACGTTAATATACTTTAAAGAAGCAATAATTCTTAATGTTATGAACTATGTAGCAGTCTTTGTCTGTTGTAGTCTATGTAACGGACTGACCGCTTTCTTTATTGAAAATAATTTCGTCCCCAAAAAGATAATTTTCTTTGGAATTCTTTAATTTAAATATAATGGTAGTTATATGGACATTCTTTTTAAATATAATGTAGATGTATGTAGTCTTTTAGTGCTAGTTTACGATATATTAGTTCATGCATAAATGACAATTGTTCTGAAAATTCCGTGTCCCATGGTAAATGATTAAACATAGCACTGCCCATTAAAGACCATACTTTTTTTGAGTTCACCATATTTATTTCTTTTTAAAAACAAATAATTTCTCTCAGAAATCTAGAAGAAATAGAAGAAATCAAAGGAAAATTACTAATAAAAATGATTACATACATAACCAATTATATCGTTACCTAAAGACTGTTGCATCTATACATGTATATGTAACATGCGAATACAACGGAAACTCGTAATACTTTTTTCACAATAGATCCAACAAGAGAAAGGCGTAAACTACGTCCCCTAATATCGAAACTCACTAGAAACTCACTTACAATATACTCGAATAAAACTTGCTTTGATCAATAAAAATAATGTAGTAATAAGAATTAGTGGACCTTAATGAGTTTATTACTAATGTGTTAATTATCAACATCAAGCAAGTATATACAATAAATTGATTCCATTATTGTAATAAAATCAAAAGTTGTATGAAATTACTTCAATACTTAACTTGAAATAAATTTCTCTATATGAGATTAAAAGTCTTCCACGTCAACCTATGTAATAACTCCATCGCTCGCACCTGATAACTGCTACATTCTCCAACTTAATCAAGGCATTTTATACTCTACCTCATATATTATAAGGTTCATAATCCTGAACTGGTACTAACTGCTATATTCTACGACTGACAGGATTAAGGCGTTTAAACTTTAATACAAAGATAATAAGGCTTATAATCCTGAACTTGTATGCAACAGGTACCTCAGACAAGATCAAGGTGTTTTATACTTTACTGTATGTATAATAAGGCTTATAATCCCCTACAGGTACATCAGAGCCGGTGCCTCCGTACAGAATGCCGCCAGCACCCGAGGCGGCTCTGCCCGGTGCCCCCGCTCCCACAGCCCAGGGCATACACACGCACGCCAAGTTTCCCGTAAGTTAATGAAAAATCTCTTTATTACTATGTATTAACTCAGCTAGGCTCTAGCCTGCGGTTTTGTTCGTATAATTATAAATAGCATTCATAATTTACAATAACAATCGTACAGAGAAACATATATTTTTAGCGTCGTTTATCTGGTCATTGTACTTTGAATAAAAAGTTTGTATTGAATATAAGGAAGTGTTTAAAGATTGCTGTTAAATAATATATATAAGCCAATAATTGTTTCGAGAACCAGTAGTAACACATATAAGATGTGTTATTCAAATTTATCTGAATACGAAATCAGCAAGAAATACAAGCCGTCCAATGACCAATTTGTAAAGATCATTTACATTTTAATGAATGAAAAGGTTCGTACGAGATATAGAACAGAATAAACGAGATCTAGATGTTGTAGATAGAAGTGATGAAGATTTATTATATTATGTGGAACAAAAACAAGTGTTTTGACGAGAACGCTCTTAGTATATGGTCTGTATCGAAAAATTATTATAAGATAAAAGGATAAACAGGAGTCATAACAAAATAAGTTGTTGTAAAACTTTGTCAATAAAACCAAAAACATGATGATATTTGTAAAAAAAATATAAAAAATAAAAGATGAAAGGTAAAAGATAATAAAACATAACATATCTGAAGTCAAGTCAAGATAAACATAACATTGTATTTTCAATTAGTTGTGAGGACAGCGAGTGACGTCGGGTCGACGACATTGTTTTATTTATATCATGAGTTCATGTGGTATTTTCTTTTTGCACGCATTCTTAGCAACCAGTTAACCTTATATTACGAAATGTTGGAATATTTCCTTCATTTGAACATAATTATTTGTTATAGAAAATATTCAATATTGTTCCGTGTATTTTATGACACTTAGACTTCTTCTTGTACTTGGCAATTTCCCAGCTTTAGCCAGGGTCTGCCTTACATGTTGTGAATAGTTTTGGATAATTATTTTTACGACCGGCCGCCTGCTTGACATGAACCCTCTTTGAGAATGCATTAATCAGTGATGTCTAAATACACTTAGAAAGTACATATGACTCGGAAAAATCACATTGGTACTTGCCAGGATCGAACCCGCGCCCTCATGCATGAGAGGCAGGGCTTTTAACAACTTTAACTCAGACTATTCCGATCAAACTCTGTTAAGGAAATTGCGGTCCTTAGATTAGGTAGATATAATTTTGTTAAGTCCGTTTTATTACGACACAACACATGTAAATTAAAAGTGACGCGAGTCACGTTAAAGTTAACTATCGGTGAGATTTGTGAAAGTTATCGTTTATGAATCGATTACAGCTTGCTTATGACTTAGAGTTTATTAAACGTGTATGCTTCTTTCGTATGACAATATGTTTGTAACAACTTTGAACAGCAACTATGTCTAATATTATTCAATAATAAGAAAGTTCAATCTCTGTCATTTTAATCTTTACATAATACTTACTCTCTCTTATATACACAGATAGAGCGAGATGTAATCCTGTCGTCTGGTGATAAGAATTCAAAAGTGCCGATATTACAAGAGGCTAGGAAGAGAGGGAGGTTGGGAGCAGTGGCGCCTGATACACCACCTAAAGCCTTGTCAGCGTGGACTCATACTGAGGTCAGTTAAAATATTAATTGATTAATAAACTTCTCCAACAGCCCATACAACTAACTAACACATAGAACTTACAAATCAACTCGATTCTAATTTAAGTAGAAGGTATACTTACGTTTAAACTGAGGTATATAAGTATATTCGAAGGCTGTTTTATCACCTCAAAATATCGAACCAAAAAGGCCTTCACGCATCATACACTCAGACATTCACTTCGTAATAAAATTTCAACCAAAGACATTGTCATGTTAAGAACAAGGTTATAAATAAAACAGAGTACAGTTGAAAGCGAGTTCGCTACGCCAAGAATATGTCACTTAACATAAGATCTATTATTAGAACATCAAACACCATGACACTGGGTGCAAGAAACCCATCGTCATGCCTCGCCCGTCACGCTGCTTACACAGGAAACTCTAATCTCATACATATTGCATTCAAACTACACAGAAACTGTTCAGATTATCCACGGAAATATATTACACTAGCTTTCCGCCCGCAGCTTCGCCGCGTGGAGTTCGGTTATATCGCGTTTCCAAGAGAACCTTTCAAAAGTCTGGGATAAAAACTATCCTATGTTCTTTCTCAAGGTCAACTCTATCTCTGTACCGAATTTCATTAAAATCAGTTCAGTGGTTTAGGCGTGAAAGCGTAGCAGACAGACAGACAGACAGACAGACAGACAGACAGACAGAGTTACTTTCGCATTTATAATATTAGTAGGGATTGATATTAAGACCAAATTTGTAACAATTTCGTCTGGTGAAGCTGAGAATTATTTACAAAAATAACGACATTAACTTGTATCCCTACTAATATTATAAACGCGAAAGTAACTCTGTCTGTCTGTCTGTCTGTCTGTCTGTCTGTCTGTCTGTCTGCTACGCTTTCACGCCTAAACCACTGAACTGATTTTAATGAAATTCGGTACAGAGATAGAGTTGACCTTGAGAAAGAACATAGGATAGTTTTTATCCCAGACTTTTGAAAGGTTCTCTTGGAAACGCGATATAACCGAACTCCACGCGGCGAAGCTGCGGGCGGAAAGCTAGTAGTTTATAAAAGACATATTTAATAATAATTTCCACAATAATACCAATTAAATATTACGACATAATCTCATCGATAGTAATAACATAAAATACATATTTTCTCACATTTTTAATATAAACATTAAATTAAAATCCATTTCCTTTATTTAATGGATCATGTTTCTTTAAATCGTTTTATTAATTCTCACCGCGTGCTTCGACGGGCTACGGACAAAAAACGGTGAATCTAGCACGTGCGGCCTTACAACTACGATTAGTTACAGCTAATATTAATATTATATAATAATATTGTCAATAATGCTTTGGGAGATATAAATTTTACTTTGAATATTCATTAATGATTATAGTATAAATCATCAGCAGTAGTCGTTAATACTTCTAAATACGTTTGGGCCAAAACTTTAATTGATTAATTCACCAAATTTAATTAAATCGTAATCTTTAATGGATGAAGATAAATTTTAACAATCTTTTATTCAAAATAACTCAGTGAAAGTAAATAAAAGTGTGTCGTATTAAATTTGTATCGTTTGTGCGTGATCTTTTTCATTTAACTATGGAGATAAATAGATCCGATTTACCATTGGACATGGAGGTTAGAAAATTCAAATTTGATTGTTATTGTTACAATTTTTTTATATGATGTTAAACCGCCGCTTTGTCCTTTGGATGTAGGCGTTCCCGACCTTCATAATCTGAACGTTCCTTTAAAGATATATGTAAATATATCAATAAATAAGTTCAAAACTATAAAATACTAGATAATGCATTTGACTGAAAATACTAGATAATGCACTTGACATATGACTGCATTTGTGAACTTCGGAATGGGTCTCAGAGTGATGAACTAATGTTTCTTAACTATAAGAGCAATTATCAATTTGTAGCGACATCTGTTGTCTGTGTATACTGTATACGGTATACATACCTAATACACAACCCAACAGTTATGACGCAAATCATGAAACTACAAGGAATACCAGGAAAAATAATAATCTTTTTCTTATTCCGATGTGTTTGCTAGATTATTGTAGTTTTATCAATATTCGTTAACCAGTTTTTTGGATGAGGAAGAAATACCAATAATATTAATAAAAACAAAAAAATATATTTATAAATATATATTTTTTTTATGGAATTATTTAAGATATATTTAATTATACATACATTTTAGAACATCCATATTTTTAATATATAAATCATTTTTCAATAATAATAAAATCAAAAGCAATTATTTTTATTGAAACGGTATATTAGATTCGGCGTAACGAACCCGCACGCCGACCGAGTCGTGTTAGTAGTGAACGCACGGCCTGAGAGGGCGCATCGTAGACCGAACAAATTAAAGTGTTGAATATATCTTATAAAATAAATTATAGTGAGTGATTTGTTTCAATAACGATGTTGTATTGAAAACTGTAAATACAAAACAAAATGGTTGAAATTGATGTCGAAAATGTGAGTATTAAATGAGGTACAAACTAACAAACAAAGTTATAATAAACAGCTGAGAAATTCATTAACTTAACCCTCATACGTACATTCGTAAATAATATACGAAATATGAATTTAAATTATATTTTATTTGTACTATGTCTACATGAATTAAAATTGCTCGTTAAATTAAAGCCGATATTTATAAACACAATTTCAGTTTTCAATCATTACTCAGTGACACACACATTATATTTAAAACCTACAATAATATATTCCTAACGAATTCTAAATTTTATGTACCGGAGTTGAATGACACTGTACATAATACACATTTAAATGGTAACATAACTTCACTATCAACTATTGGTAACCCTAGTAATATAATGTATTAAGTAATGAGAGAGTGCTATACATTATTAAGAATACATAACGATACAAAGTTTCATAAATATGAAACAAAACATTGTACATTTCATTTGAATGCAACAATCATCATTGTGTCTATTTCTCAGACTCGTAACACTTCTTTCACCAGACCGTGTTGGGTTCGATTCCCAGCTACTATGTTGCTTTGTCTTATCTACAGTATGACTATTAATTTCGTTGTCCCGCGTACGGAATACTAAGCGTATTTTAAATCAAATACAGGTTACATATTACAGCGGCCTTTGAATGTAATGATCCAGCAAGAATTATTATAAAATCAGTTCCTATTTTATTAACAGCAAAGTTTCAGTATGGGTCACACTTTTATCTATACCTCCACTTTTTTATAAGAATGTGAAATTATATAGTGTGTATGTATTACGGAATCTTTTTATTACTGAAAAAGATACCATAAAATCTTTGCAATATTAAAATATGGAATAAAAATTTAATATAAATGCAGGTGGATAAGGCATTAAGAGGTATTAAACAAAATTGATAGACTAAAGTTTAATATATAAAGGTACTTTAATCGAAGGACTCCCCTTCCCTCCAAAAAAAGTTTTTTTACTAATTGCAATGATATTATCCTAGAACAAATATCCTTTTGAACCAAACTTCATCAGATGAAACTCCTATTACCAAAAATCACTTTATTTGTCAGACTTAAAGCAAAATTGTATTTATAATATATATTTTTTTGCAGAATCAACAAGCCGGTCCATCTGGTGACTTTAGACAATACGAACAAAACTACGGGTATGCTATGCACCAAAACGTTAATGCGAATCAGGGTGCTGTGGCTAGAAACATACAGAACTATGACTCACCAAAACCTCCTGTACCAGCCAAGAACACATACAAACCTGACCAAAACAATTCCCATATAACAGTGACAGTCGAAACTGGAAAAGATAACACAAAAGACGCTCCTAAAAGCAACAAATCGGTTAGCAAAACTTATCACACTCTAAAAGACATGATATCGAGTAGATTTAAAAATAAAGACGGGAATGATGCAGAGAAAAACAATGAGGAAGCTAGACTTAATAATAATGAAGAACGGAAAAAGCCAGACCAAGAACCAGTAACGCCACGAGAGACACCTAGAAAAGTTGAACAAGGAATTTATGGAAGACCAATGCCACAGAATCGGCCTGACATGCAATATAGTCAACCCATGCCCAACAATATGGCTTATCACAGCCCTTCCCCTCATAGGTATAAAATTGACATTTATTGTATTTAAATTCCTATAAATATTTCATATGATTGTTGTAGTGGGTGTAACAAGCCTTATAAATACACGAAACAACTTAAGTTTGCTATAATTGGCAGTTTATTCATAGATACAATCTTAAAAGTATAGCTAACTTACTAATATGGTAATGCAACATGTCGAGAAGCAATTAAAGCCATTGTTAAATTATACCCCACGATAGTTTCCTTGTGAACTATTATATAAGACAGATATATGTATATGGACCTATATTAAATTACTGTATATAAATGCTTCCTAATATTTTTTACAGACAGTTAATTCACCAGCAACAGCAAATAGTCCAACAACAAATGATGTTGAACCATCAGGCTCGCTCTCAGGAGATGTTGGCTCACCGACCACAAGCTTTGGGTGCAGACGCTCTCTACCAATATGGACCACCGGGAAGACGTAGTGCTGTTTATCAAAGAGAAGACTTGAGATCTTTAGCAAATTTCACATCGCTGAAGACAGCCCCACAACCACAAGTAGGTTAAAATTTGTGAATATTGCTAAATTGACACAAATTTGATAATGACTCTTATAACTAAAGACAACCCAAAAATTACAGAATAGTGCCCGAAAAAATTACAGCAATTGTCGGCTTTCTTACGATCGTTCTCACTGGTATAACAAAGTACAATGATTCTCAACAATTACTTTTTCCCACGACGCACAATTAAAATAACAAGTACTCACTTTATGATGTTGAGATATCGTGGAACATTCCTCATGTGGTTACAATGCGATTAATTTATTAGATCTCTGTTGAAATCGATAAAATATTCCTACTTTATTTCGTAACTCGCTTAATTAGGATAATCACAGTCCTAGTTTTTGTAAGACCCAATTGCATATAAATTAGTCTTAAATAACTCTATTTAAAATTTTCACCTCAATTATAATTACCGATCAAGAAATAAATAATTTTTAAACATAATTGTCCATATTATTATAGAACAAGGTTTAATCTATGGACTCCTACAACTTAATTTTAAAATTGCATACAATACTTCCGGCATTATTCCAATTTGATTAATTATGTTATATACTATAAACATGAGCATTTAAGAAGCATATTTGATTAAACAGATTGAAAATTATCATTTACAGTTCGAAAATTCACATTCAAGACTTGATCTCAGAATTCCACAACAATTAGAAAGGGATATTGGAAGGCAAAGAGGATTGGGTGAAGGAAGGAGAGCAGCGTCACATCCGCATCTTCTAGAAGAACCACAACATCGACAAGAAATAGTTAGCCCCCAAATTCATAATCGATCTAGGAGAAATTCCCAAGCAAACTTGTTAGATGCAATATCTCATGAAAATGAATCCACAAGAAATAACGAAGAGCGGGAGTCTGATGACGGTGGTTTTAGACTGAGGCATGCCACCCAAAGTAGGTTAAGTTATGAAGAAAGAATACGAACAAGTGGTCGGTCTTTAGAATCACACCACGAAAGATCTCATGAAATATATCGAAGGACACCCGATAGCCATAAAGAATCAAGAAGAACGCCGGATTCCTTAAGCCTAAGACAAAAAGATGAACCTTCAACATCCAGAGAAATAGAGAGGAATGACGAAAGTGCGAGTCAAAAATCAGCAGACAGTGTATATAACTCCAGTGGAAAAGCCGAAGCGTACACCCCCCAGCCGTCTTCATCGAGACAAACACCGAGCAGGATCGAAGATTTAAAGGCTCATGGAAAGAAAGGACCCAGTGGATCAGGAGCCAGTTCGGGTGAGATTCTAATTCAGCCTCATTTTCCTATATAGCCCTTTCAAAAATATTCAGTGCCCATTTAATTATAGATTATGATAAAACCGGCGGTCAATCTTCCAACGTGGATTCAGGTCGTGGGAGCGCTGCGAACTCAAGCGGGAGACGGGCGGAGACCACACGAGCACCTCCACATGATGCAATAGCTGGTACGTACTAACTAAATATGAAATAAAATATATAATATAACTATATATGAAATAAAATGAAATTTCCATCACTCCACTTCACTACCACTATACCACTCATCTGATTTAGTTATACAAACTTGATCATTTCAAAAAAGAACAGTAGTCAAATATAATTATAATAACTATTATCATTATATTCCATTTCAGCACCAGAAAACGAATGGGCAGATTTAGTGGAGTGCGAGTTACGTCAAATCCTGGAGCCTAAGCTCTCCAGCATGAGGTTGGACAGCTCCGCCAGTTCTGATGGATCGGTCACGCCTCCACTACCGCCGCTGTCTCCATCATCAGATCTACACAAACGAAACAGGTAATCTTAATATGTCCGTTATTACATATAAACATACCAAGACATTACACTAATCTACTGGCAAAAAGATATAAAAAATGACAGGGTCTATCAATTAGGATAATATATCGTTTTTTATTTGTGTACTCTGATCTTTTTTAATATGTCATTCGAATTTTACTCCTTTTCACCCGATGGACTTCTCAAAATTATTGTCATATAGATGATTCTACTGAACCTTCTTTCTTTGCCTATCACTTAATTATTTGCGATCAGTCGAAATTAATTTTATAAACTTCTAAATTGTCAATGAATTTTTTCAGTCTTCCCGGGCGTGTTGAGTATTCTGATGATCGGCGCCGCCGCGAGTCCCCTCGCTGGCCCTCCCACTCACACTCGCACTCACACAAGAAACCGTCAAAAAGAGATCATCATTACAAGAAGCACTGTAAGTAATCGATCCACATTGTACTCTTGTAATTATATACATATTTATAGAGTATAAGGAACAACAGTTAGCTATTCAATCGTATAAATTAATTATTGCTTTCTACGCAATTGTTTAAAAATTCCAGAATTTTCAAACATAAATAATAATTAGTGTTTACATCTTGTCAAAATGTTTGGAGGATTAACTAGAGTTTTAGCTATAGAGAAGTATCATACTTAGGCAAACGTACTGAGATTTAAATGTATATACAACATATGACTAAAATGCTGTTTTTGGAGCTGAAGACAGAAAATAAATTGGGCTATAATCTTTTTTTCCAGCCTTTGGTCCCGACACAACGGACGTCACTTCAACCACGACGCGCAGTCTGGATCTGTCTTCCTTGTTAGACGCAAGAACAGACAGCGACGCGTCCACAGATGCACGGGCTATACGGAGACAGCTCCGAGGACTGGAGAACATGTACGGGGAGGTGCTGCAGCTTTTGGGGGTCAGGAAACCAACTGGGAAGAACTCCTGGGAGGCACGGTTAGTGGACAAAACCAAGATCATTAAATATTGGATATTCGTTTCTATAGAAAGTGTTCAATCTGGTGATAGAAAAGAATAGTATATCATAATTTTAATCAGTGTTCAATTTCAAAATGTTTGACACGCCTTTTATTAAAAAAGGTCGTTAAAGATGTAATAACGTCTCTCTATTTATTGACGTGAGTTAAAATTTAAATAAGCAATAGAGAATTGTTATGCCATCAAACTTAAAAGGTACTCCTATTCTATGTTTAATAACATGATTGCAACACCATAGTTGAGTTGAACCAAGCACTTCTAAAATTTTATGTTTATTTTTCTATTAGCTCCATCTTTTGTAATTATTATTAAATAATATGTGGTCTGCATTAACATTTTTATCAATTGTCAGGTTAACATCCAAGCGTCGTTACGGCAGCATGTCTTCACTGCCTTCCAGCTCCGTCAGCAGTCGACCTGTCAGAGATAAAAGAAGGTCATCCAACGAACATCGGAAGAAGAATGATTATAAGGTCAGTTCATATTAAAAAAAATGTAATCTCTAACGTTACAAAGAATATGCAACTGTTACTTTAAATATACAAATATATATATATAAAAATCTCTGGTCTAACCTTAACAGGGATTTTATGAAGTAGGATGGCATTGGGTAAAGTTTTATTATGGATAGTATATTACCATAGCTTCTCCATGTGACAAGAGGCCTTTGCTCAACGGTAGGCTCTGATAGGCTGATGATGATTACCATAGCAATTGGAAATTATAAAATTTCTACAGCTCAATATCATAAATATAACAATATCTACAATAGTTCCAAATTCAGAAAACTTAATTTAGTATACTCTGAAATCCATGATTATACCATAAATATGTTAATTTATAAACATAATCTTGACTGCAGGGTATAAACAAGCGCTTCCAGCGGCTTGAATCTCACGTGGTGACTCTGGCTCGGTCGGTGGCTCACTTGTCGTCTGAGATGAGAACACACCACTTGGTGCTGCAAGAGATGGACACCATCCGAGCTGAACTGGCCGCCCTCAGGCATATGTACAGGTAGGACGAACACTTTTGCTTTATAAGGGTCGAACTTTATTCTAGACACATGGAAACTTAGAAAAAATGTTCTGAGAATATTGTATAAAAAGTCATCGTGACCTAGTTGCTTAAAGCCCCCTCTTGTGCATCATGGGACGGGTTCGATACCTGGCAAGTACCAAGGTGATTTTTCAAAGTCATAGGTACTTTCTAAGAGTATTTCGATACTAATGACAGACGGTGAAGTAAAACATCGTGAGGAAGCCTTGACTTTTAATTTAAAATTATAAGTTTGAAATCACCAGCCCGTCTTTAATCTACAAATAACTTTATTAGACACTAAACTTTTTGATGCCCAGTAAGGTGATGCTCATAACTCCTGAGCTAACTAATTGAATTCACATTTTACAGATCTGGCGCCCCAAGTCGAAGACGCACATCAGGGTTCAGTGACCCCGAACGTGTTAAACGTCTCACCAAATTCTTTGGAGACGAACCACCGCTCATGAGACTGTTCCTCAAGAAACTTGGATACGAGGTACTTAAATGTTTTTAAAATGTCTGTATGATGTTAGTTGCTATGGGAACTAGTTTACGGAAGTAAAAGCGATAAAAATAAAATTATTAAAATTTTTATGTTTGAGATAAATCTTACGTGGGGATTTTCGATTTGATTACATTTGTAAATAAAGAAAACCCAATCGTTCATGATGAATTTTTTTTTGTTGGTATACATCGCTAATTACTACAAATGACGGTCCTAACTTAACGACTTGTTTTTTTCCAATTTCTATTAAAGATAATTTACAATCAGCAATATATTAAGAAGAGCAGGAAATATATACACGTTAAGATTTGTGCACAATAATGTCAGCTTAATCGCAGTAATTAGAATGTTACCACAAATGGTTGTGAGATAACTCAAAGTGTTTATTTCCATACTCCTTCTCCAATATTTTTTTATTTCGTTCATATATTTTTGTGAAAGTCATTTTTCATAACGAGTGAAAAAAGATACGTTAAATTTTCGAAACAATATTGATGGACCCGGCACCCGCACGGTGAATCCATTGAATGCTAAGAGGTTTCATCTCATTATTCTATCAATTTTAATAAATAAATACATTTGTCACTAATATCAATACAATCTATATCTAAGTAAATTATCATCTAAGAAAATACCCAACCAAAACTAACAGTATATAACTTCATTCTATTTCTCAGAAATATGCAGCCCTTCTTGAAAAGGAGAAAGTTGGCGCGGCTGAACTGCCCTACGTCGGTGAAGACAAACTCAGAGCCCTAGGAGTACCTTTAGGTCCTAGGATGAGAATACTCAAAGAGGCTGGGATCCATCAGGACCTTCATTTATCTAGAGATGATCATAACACAACCACTACATTGGCTATAGTATAACAAATGTTCTAGTACTGTATATAAATGTGTTCTTATGTAAGAAAGATAGTCTTCGTACAATAACAATTGAGTTGCAACATCAATATATGATTACAAAAAAATACTGATATAATTTAAAATACATAATAATTATAATTAAATCTGCTATTGGAATTCAGACTGTATGGTGTCGTATTAAAACTGTATTTAGATATTTAATTTATAATGTAAATATTTATGATAATTTGAGTTGTTTATAACTCATTTATTAAGTGTTTTATTTCGCTTCAGTTAATGAGATGATAAGTTTAGGTTGTTGAATGTTAAACACGTGTAGTCTGAGTTAAGTTGTATGACATTAAGAAGGCTTTAAACTGTTTTTTTTTTCACCAAATGAGCTCAAATGAATATAACATCTCTATATTAATTATATTATAAACACAAGTGCACGCCAAAGACGACGTCCAACGTGTATTTAATTGTATAAATGTAAATAAATTAATACAACGAAATGTAAACGCATGCTTTAATATTATTTTATGTAATATTTTGAGTTTTTTTGTAAATAAAGATTTTTTTTATCAATATAAGAGTATTCTTATATTCTTTTTTTCTATATCTTCATCTGTTATTTTATTTTGAGCTAAGTTTCCACTCGGCTACTTCTTTTTGCTTCACACCTACTAAAATAAAAAAATATCAGTTGCTAAGAGCAAAATTTGATTACAAGCATAGAAAATTCCCAAATATTTTTATCTTTAGAGATTAAAATAAGGTAAGCAAAACATATATTTTTCAAATATTTTCTCGACTCTTGAACAAAGTCTTTTGCGGACAAAATATGTTGAGTTAGATTTAATTGTTGTATAATGATTGCTAAAATTATTTCCAAAAAGAAAACCTTTCCTTGTGATTACTGTTTAACATTAAAAAAACTCAAACTGGCTAAGTTTTCCTTTAAAGCGTACGAATTCATTTTCTTTCATTTGTTCATTATGTTTTGTTGAAATTTAGAATCCATTACAAAATTTTAATTTTTTTTTAGATTTAATAAAAAAAGTAATTTCTTAAAACATTAATATAATATTTAATGATATTCCCCATGTCGGATTTATTATGCGCTAGATATTCTTAAAGGAGAGTAAACAGCTTACACATAACTTGTTTACCATAATGACTGTTCCTCGAAAATGAAGATATATGTGATCTATGCTGAGAATTAAGAGCAGAGTAATAATGACGTACTAATAACACTATCTGGGGTCGCTGCGAGAGAGATAAAACGATGTCTGCTCGTACGTTCTGCTGCCATTTGGTGATAGTCACTCCCAAAATGAAGACCCTGCTCGTTCTGGTTGCCGTCTTGGCATGTGTTCTGGCTGAAGTACCTTTGTACAATCTCTGTGATGAAAGTGAGTATTATAGAATAATAACTAAAAAACTACTAAGTATACTAAGTCCGAACATTGAGTGATGATTTTTTATTGTGGATTTTCTTCGGTTTCACCTTAATTTTATTATTTTTTGATCTTTATTATATGTTTTTGGCTTATGAACATTTACAGACAAAGGTTATAGTAAGTAGTAATAAGTATAGAATTGGATGTCGTAAAGAAATGTAACACAGTGGTAAAACCCAATCGATACATTTCTGTTACAACGTTTTCTTATCTTTGTTTTGATTTAAGTTGCAATATTTCTTTATGTGTTTAAGCAATATTTGTAAATTGATCACAAAACACGATGGATATATACAATTTATATGTAATTAAATATATTGAAAAAGGAGTTTTTAAAAAAATGTATCAGTATTTCAATTTATCGGAATCGCTAAAAAGGATTTATTTAGTTGTCATATAACATAAATACTCACTTCATCACACTATACACGAGGCATTTCAAGTTCTTTCGTGAACAAACGTTCGAATATGCGTCAAAACGTAGATTTATAAATTAAATAGTTTAAACGCTGCATGTGCAGTTACAATGGTAAAGGTTGATAAACACAATAAGCAGTTAAGATAAGAGTATAACTCATTAACAGTCCCGTATTAATTTTCATTTAATTCCAAATAACCGTTTAAAGACATTTACTTTTAAACATCTATGGTTTCACCAGACCTTTACTACGGGTTTAAAGTAATTGCTATAATCTTTATTTGGAAAATTATAATACTTTAGCCAAAATATGAACCGTTTTTTGTCAGTGAACTTATTATTTATACACATTTATATATTAGATTTCATCGTTAGGTTTGGTTACGTATCATAATTTTTTATACTTTTCATGTAGGTATGTGTGTGTGTGTGTATGTATGAATAAAAATAAATAACATTACAACGAACTTGTCGTTCACATTTCATATTTCTTTGTCTTATAAATAAAATTGTCATAAACTTATTTATTGTTTTGATTTTTGATTTATCACACGTGTATTGCTTGGTGTTTAACAAATATCATAGTAACAATTTTAAATACTTACTCTTTATGTTTATGATAAAAATCGTAGTAGTTCAACTATTGAAATTTAACTATTGCGACAAGTAACATGTCGTGAATGATTTAACTGATAAATATAATAACATTATAATATGATATAGTCAATAATGATATATTTAATATAATTATTAGTACATGTAACAAACTATCAGCCTTAGTTCCGGGTGATTGGCCAGACAGAACGACGATTGTACTCCATCTGAAGTCAAAGTTCACGACACTCATTGATAACTTGACTTCAATTTTTATTACATTACACGCGATTAGAAAATTATTTTTATAACATCTAAATGAACCAAATAAGACTAAAACTACATACTTTTATTTCAGCTTCAAGTAACATCTGTGAGATTAACGAAGTACGTATAAATCCCTGCAAAGACAAGAAAGCCTGCAAGTTCAAGAAAGGTTCCCCTGCATCGATATCTTTCGACTTTACGCCAAGTGAGTTCCAATCAATTACCTAGAGTAACAAGGTGAATTGGCTTCATTGATGGGTTAATAGGTTACATAGTACGATCAATACACACACGTGTATATACGTAAAGGTAATTAGGTAATATCTAGAATAATTAACATCATAAATACTATTTAAAACTAGTTATTTCTGCGGCTCCATCGAGATAACGGTTGCAATACTTCGAGTTTATTTATAATAAATATATAAAGTTAACTTAATGATAAGAACCCCTTAATGTGGGTTTTATAATCAATAAAGTATGCCATTAAAATCAATAAAAAATATCTAAGAAGAATACAGATTTTCCTTAAAAAGATCGTTAATAAATTAATTTCTTTTTCACTGTACCTCGAAATTATAATTAACCAGATATCAATATTAATGGATAGTTTTGAAAATCTACAATTAAATGGGTCCCTATATAGACATAAATGATAAAACCAACATGCCAATATGTAGCAGTTGAAGTCAAATATAATATCCTTACATTCAAAACCAATCCATAGCTGATTTAGGGATTTTGTTTCTTTAGATATTTTGTAAGACAGAAGTATGATGCTTATAATTTATCATATCATTGAAATATATCTATATATATAAAAGAAAGTCGTGTTAGTTACTTCACTTATAACTCAAGAACGGCTGAACCGATTTAGCTGAAAATTGGCAGGGAGGTAGTTTAGAGCCAGGAAATTGCAATAGAATACTTTTTATCCCGTTCCACAGCATTCCCGTGTAACTTGACATGAAACGTCAGTCACTATAAAACAAAAAATAATCAGACCTGGAATAACAAAACGCAAATGACAGCTATATAATTGACGTATAATGACAGATATGTAATTACGTATGGATGACAATTTGATAATTGTAAGAATTCTATATATTATATAACAATTAATTGATGTTCGTTAGTCTCACTAAACTCGAGAGCGGCTGAACGGATTTGTCTTATCTTAGTCTTGAAATATTCGTGGAGGTTCATTTCGGGGAAAAGCTTAAAAACAGCCCTTTTCTATTTCCCCTAGAAACGTTTTTTTTTGACATTAGATTTGACAACTAACTAATATGTCAATCATTCTGTCGCACTTCAAAACACGGAGATTTATGGTTTAAAGGTAAACTCCAAAAATATAAATAAAAGAACGTAACAGATATTTCTTGATTATAGAGCGACACGAAGTTCGCCGGGTCTTCTAGTTTAAAATAATAACTTATCACGTCATACATTTAGTAATATTTTTAATACTGCTTTGTTTCTATGAATTTACTACTAGTTATAATAAAACTTCAGTATTATGCTTTGAATCTTTTAAATTCACGAGTTCATACCAAACACTATTTTCCAGAGTTCTCAGCGTCCAAGCTGAAGACTGGTCTGTTCTGGGCGAGTGATGGTGGTGATGTTCCCTTCCTCGAGCTGAGCGATGCTGATGGCTGCCAACTCACGAGCTGCCCTGTTGAAGCTGGAAAGAAACAAGACTTGAACTACAGCTTAAGACTGTCCAAGAAGTTGCCCAATGTAAGATACTACATGTTCATCATAAATAAATACAAGCTTTTTTATGACAAAGGGGGCAAAATGAGCAAATGGCCTAGCTGATGAAGGTATTACCGTCACCTATGCGTTGGTAACTTTGATTTGGAAAGAGGGAAAGGAAAGGGTGGGAAAAGGGAAACGGGAACTGGCTCTCTTACTCATCGGACGAAATGCAGCCGTATAAGACTACTTCACGCTGATCTTCTTTGAGAGGGTGGTACTACCCTGCTTGAGCCAGCCCATATTCGAGCTGTAGTAATTTGATCACAGCATAATATCAGCTTCAGAGCTGTATATAGGAATTACAATATAGATGAGTCCTTTTGATAAATGAAAATTAAATACATTAGCTAGACAGCTTTATTACATATATAGTTTTAATGAGATTACTTCTATTTTCTTCGTATATTTATGTTCAAACGGTGATTTTTTATGTATTTGTGATTTTTTTTCAAATGTTTCAATAATATTTAATATTTCAGGGAAAATTCACCTTCAAATGGAAGTTGTATAACGAGGAGGACCCATCGCAGTTGTGTTGCTTCAAAACTGATGTCGTTCTAAGGAAATGAATGAAGTGTATATAAATAAAATAACGAGCAATAAATTTTGATGATTGAGTTCTATCTTTAATTTCATTAGAAGTTTTGAAGTATACAATTACCTTGTTACACTGATACACTAAGATTACAAATAAATCAAAGTATTTTACTTTGAATTCTAAATAGAATACATTACCTAAATGTTTTTTAAACAGAAGTAAATATAATTATAAAAAATATTTACAAATTATAATGTCCCTTATTAATTGTAATTACGCCCACTTTCAAAGTGTAAAGTTACTAGTTATATTTGTCTGTTTCGTTATCTTAATTACAAAATTATTTCTGGTGGTCTGTTTATAACACACATGGTTCAATTTATTTGTTCGTAAGCCACTGACTGAGATGGCGTTGAAGTTTTTTTACCTCATTTTCTGTATTTATCTCGTAAATTCTGAATATGTGAATAAAAAAAGTTGTAATAATGGTGAGTTTTGTTTAAATACTCATATGTATAATATATTTCTTCAATAATGACACTTGCTTGAAGCTTTTCTTTGTAATAGTTAGAAATGAATGGTATCTTATTTTTCAGTGAACAATACTAAATGTAAGATCCATAATGTCAAGTTAGACCCTTGCCCGGATGGTCCTGAACTCTGCAAAATCAAACGAGAGGAACCTTATACAATCGCATTTGATTTCACCCCGGGTATATATGTTTTATTTATTTAATACTCTAGTACGGGCTTTTTCTGCCCGCTCAATTATCATCATCATCATCTTCAGCCATGTTAGGTCCACTGCTGAATAGGACATAGGCCTCCCTCATCGACTTCCAAGCGCTTCGGTCGGAGGCGGCCTGCGTCCGTTCCATTATATTATGAATTAAAAGAATGGTGAGGATTTCATTCATAAAGTCAAAGTATTTGAGAATAACTGCTAAAATATACAAAAAAGACCTGTAACGTTTACATTAAAACCTACATTCATTTATTAGTCATTCAAAACTGTTCAATATTCTCTTTTCTGTTCTGAAAGCGGAGGTCGGAAATTATATTTAGTGACGGGAATATAACATTATTCCAGAATTTGATGCGAGGACATTAAAAGTAGCGTTACTAAGTGATCCTAACAATACTACGAGTTTCTCGAGAGCTGTGACTCAGTTACACAACGGCTGTGAGTACACCAAGTGTCCGATTGAGAAGAAGACTAGGAACATCATGGAATTAGACTTCGAATACTACATGAAGTCAGAAGTAAGTAGTATATATTACTGAAGTTCAAATACAAAAAAATTATGAAGTATAAAGACGTCAAAGACTTTGAAACTTTTAATCAATAATTTCTTTGATATCTTTCTATTGTGTTTTTAAAGTAAAATACATTTTTTAATATCAGTTTTTATTAACAGGGTAAGTTTCCTCTCCAGTTGAGACTGTGGAATGATGAAGACGACTCCGATATGTGCTGTTTTATATTTGATGTCAATGTTTTCAAATAGATTATAATTGTATTCAATATATCTCCCTACTTAAACTTTAACACCTAAATCTACTCCTTCTGTCACAGTGGTATAATAATGATTTATAAATTATACGCTTTGTTTTTGTGGTTATTTAATTTTAAAACTTACGAATAAAGGAAGCAATATAGTCTGCGAAATCCCAAACTTTTAACTATCGGTCTGTTCCTTGAATTTTGAATAACTGATTTATACTTACAATAAATTTATAGATAAAATTTTTAGATATATTTATTTCTTCCTTTAAACCTACATACTAACAATTTACAACAAACACATTCCAATGTCTAGTTACATGAATAATCATAAGAAAAAATCTCTTACACGGGGATTATTTAACCACAACTATTTCATCTTAATAGTTATATGTTAACAACATGTGTTAAGTCAGTTCGGCCGTCGACTAGTTTGTTATACAGAGAAAATATATGGTCTTGATATAAACCAAAATTTCATAAAAAAAACTTTATTTTGAGCCAGATGAAAAACATACGCTCATCGTAACCCCACCAAAAATGAAAAAGTTATCAATATTTCAGAATTTACACAAATAAGAGAAGAAATATTGTAATGCAATTGAAATCAGCTTCCTCATTAGCAATATCATTTATTAAAATCTATTAATTTTAAACTTCAAATTACAATCACGACATAACACATTTAAAAACTTTGGATCTTCACTTGCACTAAGCACTAAATATAGTCGGTTGTAAAATATCTAATTAAAATAGCTTGTTTAACATTAAACAGAAGTTGTCAACATTCTAAAAGCTATATATTATGTGAAATAATATCCTCGTTAAAAAGATATAGCAATATTACAGTTACGTAGTTTTTATGAGGCAATTCAACTAACAGGAACTGTGCACACTCAACACACTTGAAAGTCCGGAAATCTTCTTTTGGTAAAACCATCTATATATGTTATCTTGTAATGAAGTATTACGCAATAATATGATTAAAATTAAATTATAATTAAGTATGAAAGTATACAAATAACTGTTTAACATACAAAAGAAAGTTTTCAATCTATATTCAACTATCATAACATCAGTAATTACTTCATGTACTTTCACATTGACAACGATCTGTTTATTGTAATGATATTGTGTTACGCGAAATATATTTCAATGAGATGTTTGTGAAAGAAATCTTTTAGAAGAAATAATAGTTTAAGAATTAGTACATGCATTTTGAATACGTTCGCGTCTTATAAAGTTTGTATGTTATTAAAAGGTAGGATCATAATTGTAACTAACTTTAATACAAACATCTTCTATTTTGACTGATCTTAAATAATTCCAACAATTAAATATTAAATTCACTTTGTACCTATGTATAATATAATACTCAAAAGTTCAAAGCATATAGGAAATGTTTATTGTGACGTTATATATAAGTTCTATTCTCTTGATGTGTAAAAATTATTAAATGTATACAAATAATGTAGTGTACAATTTTCCCAAAGAGGGTTGATGTCAGCCAGGCGGCCGGTCGTAAAACAATTAGCCAAAACTATTCACAACATGTAAGGCAGACCCTGGCTCAAGCTGGGAAATTGCCACGAAGAAGAGTGTAGTGTAATTTTTTTTATTTATTAAAATATTTACCTTGTCAATTATTTTAAAATAACTTTTAACATTAACAGATATCTAATTAAAAATCCTTAGCGGAAGCAAATATATGTAGCCATATTTAAATAGAGTATAAAACATAATAATATTATATTTAATCATTCTCGCCGGTTGCAGAACTATAATTACAGGACAGTTTCCATCTACCCTCAACCGCAAAACATATCAAGTGTACCGTTTTTGCTCTGAACAGGTCGGACCGCAAAGCTTCATTTATTTCCCTGTTACGTCCAGCCTATGTAGATAACACATCATTAGAGCAACATTCAACGTGTTTTATAGACTCGTAGCTGTTTATTCATTCCGCCATTGCTTTTAATGTAACATATTACTGACCATTGACCACTATAAGGCCGGCTGTACTGCAAACTAGGTTTCATTATAAGTACTAGCATTTATACATTAACGATGTTTATTTATTTCATACAAATATAACTTTCACCTAATATCATTATAGTTTGATTAAATAATATACTCACTTATCTTCTTCTATCTGGCAATTTCCCAGCTTCAGCCAGGGTCTGCCTTACATGTTGTGAATAGTTTTGGCTAATTGTTTTTACGACCGGCCGCCTGCCTGACATCAACCTTCTTTTGGGAATGCATTAATCAGTGATGTCTAAGTATTTATAGAAAGTACATATGACTCGGAAAAATCACATTGGTACTTGTCCGGGCCAGGATCGAACCCGCGCCCTAGTGCATGATAGGCGGGCCTTTTAACCACTAGGCCACCACTGACATGTCTTAATAATATAGTCATTTATGCATTAGTAATTTTTTTCAAATGTCAAAAACTAATTAAGACATAATTTTATTCTTGCTCATCTCAAATTAAATTTCTTGATAACCTATCCTGAACTGTTGGATACGTCATCCAAACGTTGAATAACAGTCTTATGTCATGATGCAGGTGATATTTCAAACAATAGTCTGTTGTACACCATGAGACTAGAAAGTCTATCACTCCTTATCAACCTGATACAATGATAGTATCTTTGAACCCGACCCGCCTTGTAAATGCCTTAAAGTAATTCGAGCTTTCTAGACTGGTTTTAAACACATTGTGGATGTCATTGTCTCTATATGAACTTATGTTTTTTTATCTTTAAATTCCTATAAATAAATATAAGGCTCGGAAACTTTTATTGTTTATTCGCATGATGGAAGAATAATAAAAGAATGATATGTATTTACGTATAAAAATATGTTTATGTTTAATTTGATTTGTACTTTTTAGGAATGCAAATTAAGACGATTGGTCAGTCTGAAATAACTTCAAATCTACCCTTAACTCGGCTCTACAGTAACAGATTAACAAATTGAATTTCATAAATAATGCTTTTCTTATACTTTTTATATGTATCGGTAATATTATTATAGTGTATAGAGTATTTTAATAGCGTCGTAAAACGTTCTAGAGCACGCCCTAAGACTAACCTGTAGAACCGGGACCTAACTGGCTTTGCTAGGAATGCGGGTTCGACGACCCTGGCTGCCCTGGGTCCAGCTTCATCCGGACTTTCACATCTCATATAATTCTATGTGAAAAAACTATATCATACAAAAATACCTCATACGTACATTAGTTTAACTTTTTTTATGAAAGTGAACGATTAGATCTCATTATGCCCATGATAGTGGTTTTTACGTCAAAGAAAATGATATAAAACTTTCTTATGTAAAAAATATAAGCCACCATAAAGTACTAAGATATAGAAATAATAAAAATTTGTTGAACCTTACGCTCACTTCTAAATTCTTCTGTCATAAAATTAATATAAATATTAGTGTCTAAGTTAATGCTTAACCAATTTATGTATTGCTTCTACCTATGAACTAATGCATGTTTAAATAATTAATTGAATTACTTCATTATTGTAAAAACAATTCAAATACATAATTCTAATAAAATGTTGATTATTTTCTTTCCACAATCTTCTTTTAGTAAATTGAAATTGCAAGTAAATCCAGTATATGAAACATGTATGTTATATCATTTTTATAATAATAAATAACGTTTAACTTTCTCGTCTGTGTGTCCGTATGTAAGCTCTCACCGTTTCTCATCACATCTTATATTACGTTAGCTCTGTGAAGCATAACACCGTATAAAATTCACGGATGTTACATAGAAAAGAAAAGTATAAGTTTAATTACAATTATATATTAATGATTTTTTATGATCATGGTATCCGTTTACTGAGAGTCGAGTCAAAACATCCGTTACCTAATAGTAATTAGTATTGAAGTGTACATACTGGAATTTAATTAAATATTTTTTTATAAAATATATAAAGTAATAAATAAATAGACATTTTGAAACTTACAATTTTATATACATACGAGTATGTACATTGTAGAACACATTGAAGTTTAAAAAACATCTTCAAAAGGCAATATTAAGAGAATTAAAAAATATGTAAATATCCTGATTTCAGAAACTAACCAACAATTTTAATTTATCAAAGAGTCAAAAATTAAATTTATTTTCGTATTAAATGTCTATATGTATATAGAAGACACAAGTCCCATACACTGTTGAAGCTCCTCTCATTACAACGATGGACCCGACACTCGCACGGTGAATACATTGGATGCTAAGAAGTTTCGTGTTTGTCTATTTAATCATTTCAATTATAAAATCGTATTAGATATAAATATATTCCGATAAATCAAGTTTTATACAAACAAACAATTACTTATGTTAAATTATATACCTTCTATAAATCTGACAATCATAAACCTTTTATCAAATTGAGAAAATTATTGATTGAATTTATTGATTTAATTGGAGATTTAAATTAATATATTAATGTTGATTAAAATGTAAAGTTCATTCAATGTTCTTCACTAGATGGAATGACGAGACCTTGTCAGAAGGTGAACTGTATCGAACACATCTTGGACAAATGTGAACCAGTTTTTATTACACAATACCAAATCAATCATACCAAGCAATATCCGAATTCAATCCCTGATAGAAACATTTGAAATTCGTTATTTTTAAAGAGAGAGAGAGTCCAGCCTTTCTGACATCACTTATGTCACTTCTTTTAGTACGTTCCATGATATTTTAAAATGAAATTTCAATTGTTCTTAATGCTGTATATCCTGTATTTATCGAAGGTTCTTCAGAAACTCATACTTCAATGATACGCACTCTCTGAACTCTGCCATCGTCCGTCCAGACGTCATATTTATCCCAAGATTTAAACATAGTTCTATTCTCCTTTTAAACAATCCTTGATTTCGTTTTACTTTTAACATTAATCATGAATACTAATGGGATTTAATAATAATTGTTGACAGGCTCAAGTTATTTTCACGTCGTATCCATAATTT